TTTGTCGACTATTGGCTACCGCTCCTCGATCTTAATGCCAGTTTTGTCCAGCAACTGCACAACATGTCGGACGCTTGCGGGTACACCGCCTTCATGGAGGAGAATCTGGTGTTCCCTCCCAAGGGACCCTTGCCCACGCCACCGAACGCCGATCTCAGCGATGACTCGTGCGATACCTTTGACGCGGTCTTCTTCGCAGCGTCGGCCATCAACCCGTGTTTCGACATCTACCAAGTGGCGACGACATGTCCACTGCTGTGGGACGTGCTTGGTTTCCCCGGGTCGTTCGACTACGTCCCTCAAGGAGCCTCGATCTACTTCAACCGCAGTGACGTGCAGAAGGCCATCAACGCTCCTCGTCAAGAGTGGATGGAGTGCACCAATGTGGATGTGTTTGTCAACAACACGGATAACTCGCTGCCGTCGGCGCTGAGCGTCCTGCCCGGGGTTATTGAAAGTGCGGACAGGGTCATCATTGGCCATGGTATTCTCGATATGATCCTGCTGTACAACGGTACTTTGCTTGCGATTCAGAACATGACGTGGAATGGTGCTCAGGGATTCTCGGCTCCTCCCTCACGTTTTGGTGATATGTATGTCCCATACTACACCGAATTCGACTTTGAACTGGGGTCGACTGCTGGATCGGGTTTTATGGGCAAATGGCATACCGAACGAGGATTGACACTGGCGACGGTTGAGTTGTCTGGACACATGATCCCGCAATACGCTCCATCTGCGGCATACAGAATGCTAGAATTTTTGTTGGGCCGGATCCCAAGCCTGGGAACAGTTGGCCCATTCACGACGCTACAGAGTACGAGCTACTGAGTAGGTCAGAGTCAGCATCACGTTGAGCAGCAATAAATGGGTGTGGGGATGTGGACGCAGGAGATGCGGGATCGGGAACATGATGATAATATGTAATGTGTATGCATGACAATAAAAAAGATCCACTGAATTGATGCCAAAGTAAATGCGAATCACTGTGTCCTGTGCAGGGCGTGTGTGTCAGTGTCATGCCAGACAAGGTAATGGTGGTGTGTGGTGCGAGGCATGTGGCGTGGTATAAGGCTGCAGCATGTTGGTGATGGTCAGATCAACATCTTTATCCAACTGCCATGAGGTGCCCAGATACATGTAGTAATTGCCTTTCCTACCCTCTTATGCAAGGACGCCTGTCATGTCAGACTCGGAATGTCTGGGAGAGGCTTACTCGTTCCCATCCTCCTCCTCCTCCTCCTTCTCATCCTACTCCTCATACTTGTAGGTCTGCTCTGCATGTCCCACCCGCCCAGGGCTGTCCATGTCATGGAGAATTGACCCCACATTGATGGTTGTCGCTACAATTTCGGCAGATCGTGGGGCACATTTTTTTTGTGTTCGGACGAGCGAGACACTTCGAAGGCCCTTCCCGCTCAGCAACCTGCATCTTTCTTGTCGGCCCGCGGAATCAGGACCGCGCATGCTGACTGATTCTGATATTCTTGTAGTTCGAACATTCGTCCAGCTAGCTAGCTAAACAGCCCTGCCAGGCCTGAGAACCGCTTGGGGGAAATCCCGACAGGAGCAAGAGCATGAGGGTGGGGGACTCGAGAGTTTCGATTCATGTACTAGGTACGAAGTAGAGTTGATCGAACAGCGGGCGATGCGGGGACGGTCTTGGACGGTGAATTGGGGGACCCTTGGTTTTTGCCCATGTCGAACAGCCATGTGCCACACAGACAGCAGTCACAGCTCGCTCTGAATATGCCTGATTGGGCGGTCTTGGAGATCAGCTTTGGTGGCTTGGATGAACTTTGGTGGCTCGCGGTGGCTCGATGGCTCCGGGGGGATGATGGGGCTCATCAGGACTGTTTTGTTGCACTTTTTCTGCTCCATGGACCGCGTGGGCTCGATACCCCCTTAGTTGGGTTTTTCCTTCTTACCGGGCGGACTATCTTCGCGGACATTGTGGGGTAGTTTTCTTTTGGGCGTGGTTAAATAATAATGGTGGTGATAAGTGGTGGTGGTTGTGGTTATGATGATGGCATGTTTTTGTTGTCGTCGTGGCCCCAAGTTCGTCGTTTTAAGTCGCTGCGCAATATAACAGGTTTCAACGATCAGCCTTTTCTCAAAACCACCTCTTCTCCCTGTGCGTTACTTTGTGATACCTGTATAACACCTTCCAAGCGTCTGACCCTTCGACTCCAACCAGTCCTCACGCCTTGACTTTGAGCTCACTCGAGGTCGATTTGGCAGTCCACCGTCCTTCGTTGACGACTTGCACAATTACACAGCGAGACGTCTAAACAGCAGTGGAACCACGGATTAGTTCGCGCTGAAGGACCCCGCCCTGCGCCGTACTCCCTCCCACCTTTTGAGGCACCGGCAAGAAAGAAGCTCCCCAGGCCGCCACAATGAACAAACTCGACGAACTCAAGCACAACATCACCGAGGATGCGTTCAAGAACGGTGACAAGGTAAGGGAGAAAACAAGAGTCTCGTCACCATCATCATCGTCCCCTCTCGGGTTTATCAGATCCTAACCCCTGCCTGTTTCGTCTAGCAAACATCCACCAACGGCGCCATCTCCCGTGGACCGAGCCCCAATCGTGGTTCCTCTCTTCGGGATATCGATGCCATAGGGCCAGACTCGGAGAGCAAACGCGAATGGCAGAAGAAGCGCGGCATCGACCTCTCCAAGCAGGTCCGGATCACCAAGCTGAGCCACATGCGGTACCAGCATCCCGATCTGAACAAGATCACAACTTTCTTGAGAGGTCAGTCCTTCCCCTCCCAAGTTGAGAGATGACGAGAATGACTCGAGCGCACCCACGGCTACGTGGTCCTCCTTCTTCTAATGTCTGTATTTGTCAAACCTTACTGACTCTGTCTCGCTCCCAGACTTTGGCATGCATGTGGTCAAGAAAGGCGAAAACGAACGCTGGTTCCGCGGCTACGGCCCGGACCAATACGTCTACTACGCCCGTCAGGGACCCAAGAAATTCCTGGGCGGTGTCTTTGAGGTCGAGTCCAAGGAGGAACTCGAAAAGGCGTTGAAGGTGCCCGGCAGCACCGTCCTCACCAACGGCATCGAGGAGATGACTGACGCCCCCGGAGGCGGATATATCGTCACACTGTCCGATCCCGAGGGGTTCCCCGTGAGCTTTGTCTATGGACAGGCAGAGGTCAAGGAAGAGAGGGCCAAGCCCGTGAAATTGGTGCTGAACGACGAGACGGATAAGCCCCGGTCGAAGGCTTTCCAGAGATTTGAACCTGGACCGGCCGCCGTCCACAAGGTAAGTTCCTTTACACACCCATGAACATTTTTCTGCGCGATCCATCGAGCTCCTTAGCTGACATCTTTTGTCTTGCTCACAGCTGGGTCATTTCGGCATCAATGTCGACAACTTTGCCGTCCAGATGGACTGGTACACGCGGCACTTCAACATCTACCCGAGCGACATCCTGTATGTGCCGCTGGACTCGATCGACCCGGCCACGGGCAAACCGGCACGCAAGGAAGTGGCCCTGTTCGCCTCGATCGACCGCGGCCAAGAGTGCGTCGACCACCACACCTTCTTCATGACCACTACCGTCCCGGGCAAGGAGAAGCACGTGCACCACTCGTCGTTCGAGGTGCACGACTTCGACACCCAGGCCCTGGGCCACCAGTGGCTCGCTGAGAAAGGGTACGAGCCCGTTTGGGGCGTCGGCCGCCACATCCTTGGCTCCCAGATCTTCGACTACTGGTGGGACGTCACGGGTTTCATGGTTGAGCACTACGCCGACGGCGACCTCGTCAACGAGGACACCCCCGTCGGCTACGGGCCCGCGGCCCACGAGGGCTTGGCCGTTTGGGGACCCGAGGTGCCGCAGACATTCCTGGAATAAAAGCCCAAGACAGAATGATGGACTTTTGTGTTGTGACAAACGCGCGCACACGGCACTTTCAAGGGGTGGGTAACGTGTCGAGAATCTCGACGAGTGAGTGAACGGTGCAGGCGAGAAAGAGCGACAGCGAGAAGCAACGAGAAACAAAGATATGAGGAAGAGTGTCTGTGATGATTACAGGAAACTTTGTGAAATATCCAATATGAGGAGAAGGAAGAAGAGTCGTCGCTGTATGTACATGTTATGACATGCACTTCCCCGAGGAAACCGATAGGACGGAAGGCGAAAGGGAAGAGCCAATGAACATCATTGATAATATATGCACCTAGGCGGGTAGTGGTGATGGCGGCGGCGGCGGATTCTATTCACGTATCTATCTATATCTATATCTTGTCCAGCCAGCCCAACATGTCCATTCTGACTATTATGCTGTGCTTTTATGTACTCTATTTCTCGTATTCTCTCGTCCTCTCTCCGCATCTATATCTAGGTCTTGGACCTAGATCTGGACCCATATGTACTACTCAAGACTAGTAGGTAGCCATACACGGCCACACACGGCCACACACGGACACAGATACGAAGCCCGACAATTCCGCACCTCTGTAGGAAAGGACCAAGCCAGGCGGAAAAAGGTGCATCTTACACGTCCCTCATTCTTTGAAGAACAGTCACATGCATACATATACAGTATCTCTGTACCGCACGGGGATATAGCATATAACTACCCTTTATCTGGGTTTTTTTTTATTCTCATGGCTACCGGCTCGTCGAGTAGACTACAGTCATGCACCGACCATTTGCACAGTTTGAACGGGATAGGACAGGACAAATCAGGGAAAATCAGTCAGTCAGTCAGTCAGGACCTGTATATACATACAATAGTATATGTGTGTATATGTCTAATCTCGTCTGTCCGGTCTCTTTGCTTCAAACCCTCATCTCGACCCCGTGCATATAGATATGAATATATGGGTAGGGATAGATTGATGAGTTAGATGTGCAAGCGTCGACGCAGGACCAACTGACACGCCCTTATAGTAAGAGTATACTTTATACTTCAACGAGTCTTACACATGCACCCCTGGCCCAGGCCAGCGGGCGCAGCGACTCCCCACCCGCCCTCACCACTCCTCATACCGCACCTTGTTGACCAGGGTGCCAATCTTCTCGATCTCGACGCGGATGTCGCCGCCGTGCTCGAGGACCACGCGCGGGTTGCGGAAGTAGCCAATGCCCGCGGGCGTGCCGGTCAGGAAGATGGTGCCGGCTTCCAGCGTCGTGCCTTGCGAGAGGTAGCTGATCTGCTTGGCGATGGGGAAGATCATGTCTCTGTGAGGTTCGCCGCGCGGGGGGGACATGTCAGCAAGAGTCCAGGACGAAATAATACAATATCATAGCGTAAAAAAAAACAAAAAAATAAGACGCCTCGAGGGAAAAGGGGGTTCTTGAAACATACTTTGTGTTCCCGTCCTGCACGACCTGTCCGTTGTATATCGCTTTGATCTTCAGGCTCTGCGGATCGGCGATCGCGTCCTTGGTCACCAGCACGGGTCCCAGCGGACAGCTTCCATCCAACCCCTTGGAGAAGGACCATTGCGTGGTCAACATCTGCATGGTCCGCGCCGAGACGTCATTGCTGCAGGTATATCCCAGGACGTAGTCGAGGGCCTTGTCCTCGGGGATGTCTCGCCCAGTCTTACCAATCACCACGCACAGCTCGGCCTCGTAGTCCGAGGTGCCATCCTGCGCGGCTTTAGGGATGGGAATCACGGCCGGGTAGGGGTCGGCCAGCGCGGTGCGCGGCTTGGTGAAGAGGATGGGAGCCTTGGGGAGCGCCATGTTTGCTTCCTGTACATTCCCCCCAACATTCCACTTGTCAGTACATCTCTCTTTAAAAAGTTGTCCAGGGCTGAAGTGCAAGAGAGGACTAAGATGTCTCATGCCTGCCACACGCTGACACATTGAGAACAAGAGGGAAGGGAACCGACATTTGCGTGATCCATGTAGTTCAAGCCCAGACACCGGATGTAGTTGCAGTCCTCGGGCGACACGGGGCTCAGCAGCTGCTTGACCGTGTAAATATGTTCCGTGACCTCGGGCGCGAAGATGGTGCCGTTGATCAGATAGGCCTTGATCTCCTTGCCTTCGACGCTGTCCACGCCAATGTCTCGAGAGGTATCAACCAACTGGCCCAGGTGGATGCGGTTGTCCTCGCTCGCAACGAAGCGGATGATGTGTGTTGCTTTGCCCATGTTTGTTTGTTTTGGTACTGACTTCTTTTTTAGGGGGGTTTTTTTCTCTAAATGCAGAAACGAGAAACACGAAAGGGTCGAACAAACGGGGATGTTGGAGCAGAAATGGTGTATAATTCCTAAGGGAAGACCAGAACAACCAAGGCGAGAGAAACAACAAAAAAAAGCCAGAGGAAGTAGAGAGAAAGGCAATTCAATTGCGCAACCTGCAACCTCTGCTCACAAACCAACACCACACGGTCATCCCAAAGGCCCCACGGTGTTTGAAGGCGGTGCGTCCCCTCCTCAATCCAAACAAATGTCATAGTTGAGTGGGAGTCGGTCCGTTTGTCGGGGAGATTTCGCCTGCCCCTCAGGAAAATTCCCCCACGAAGGTTTGGCCAAGTGCCGACACGGCGAGAATGGTGGGGGAAATGGGAGGACGGAAAAGCTTGGGATTGTGGGAGAGAGGCCGATGTCGAAACGCCGTGTTTGACCGTGCCACCTCTTGCATCTTCATCCAGTTCATCCAGTTTCCTCCGGTGGCCAGTCTGCCAGTGTCGCTCGGATCCGAGCCTTGTTTTCCCTCTTGAACATCTGTCTCACTGTTCGCCCTCGCGTCCGATGCTCAGCAATCCCGTCCAGAAGACCCTGGCCTCTTCGTTTCCGTCACAGAAAGGCTCATCGATGTCCCTTTAGCCTCGTGGTCGCGTCGTCGGAGACGGAAAGGGGTGGCATCGGAAAATGTTTTGCGACACTTTCGGAATTAGATGTGAACATGTTTCCGTTGCGCAAGAGGGAATTGATCAATGAATAACGACATGCTCGTCTCTGGGGAAAGCTGACGCTGGGCTCTCTGAAGCTGGCACTGGAAAATGGCCTGCACTTTGAGAACCATGTGGCCTGCCTCAGACTGAGCCGATGTCAAAAATAGGTGGCACATTGTAGTCTGACAAGAAATAGCAATGAGGAGCGATTCACTATCAACTTGAAGATGATTATCATTAGGCGTAATAGCACTGGTGGCACCCCCTATTCTCATTGACAATGTTAACTATATTTGATCTAGCACGGGCCTCATTCGCTATCAAGCGACTACCTCAGTTCTGGGGGGCAGCTACTTCTTGTCAAACTGTGCCAATTTTTTTCTCTCCCAAAGCCTCGGACCATGCGTCCCCCAATCTAATAATTCAAGGTCAAAAGGCTTTTCTCAGAAGGATCTCCAGAAGGATGCCGGGGACAGAGGATACTCGGCAGACATTTTACCCTCAATGCTTGACTCGTCATGGCTGTATTGACGGCACAACGCTGAAGAGACGTAGTCACATAGAAGACTATGGCTGAAATACAAAATGAGTTCGCTCATTTTCTGGGAAATCTCCTGGCGAAACGAGTTTTACAGGTTTCCCGGTGTGGCGGGAAAAGGCCTGTCTTGTCAACCACAACTCGAAGTCTGTTTTCTGCAGATTCTCCTGACAAAAACGAGTTTTACAGGTTTCCCATGTTTGACAGGAAATAGCGATCTTACCGACCATGATGCTGTGTGTTTTTTTCTGAAAACTGACCGATGTAATGAGGTTTTGTTAATTTTCCCGACAGGATAGAAAAGGAATCCTTATCGACTACAATCTGTCGAGCTGTTCCTCGGTGACATCCAATATCAGATATTTTGGCATTGGTGGTTTGTGTACTGGTGGTAAGTGCAGTGAGCCCGCCGAGGCTGTGATAAGTCTCCTTGTGATCGTCTCATGTATCTTGAAAGTAGGTATCTCTTCCCCTCTAACAAAATGTTTTGTCCGTTTCTTTCTCTTATTTGTCTCAGTCCCAAGCAGCTACATGATAATATTTGTGGCCCTTTGCTGTGGTTCACTGATCTCAACGAAACTATATCATCATTGCAAATCTCACCCAGGGTACTGAAACTTCAATCATTGAGAGGGAGATTGCACCTCCGTTGCTCCCACCTGAGGGTGTCATCGGACCACAGCATAAATCCCTTCTCTTCGCCATCAACGACATCAGGACTGAATATCATTAGCGCCTCTGTATTCCACCCCGAAACCCTGACTCCAGTCAGCACTTAAATAGATCGAGTGTTCTGCACCTGCTACATCAACAGGATCCCGAGTATCCCAGAGAGACAGCGGACCACTAGCCTCTGCATAAGCCAGACGACAGATATCATTCCACTCTTCATCTGTAGCCAGCAGGATGTGGTTGATTACTCAGGATCAGGTATAGAATTTTGGGAAGGTGTCGATTTCCAGAAACGCGTGAGCGAGAATCAAATCAAATCTCAAGACAAATAGAAATACGTGGCTCGCGCGTAGCAGCCTCTTGAAGTCAAGCGTCGTTGCGAGCTACCACATTTGTCACCACTGAGTTATCCATATTTTTCATCCTGCATCAACGACCGTGGCCATTCCGCCAATGAGCGAGAAGGTTTTTCGGAGTCGAGAACAGTAGATTAAACAGTCACTGTGACTGGCCATTGGGGTCTCGGATATCGGCGGGAGAGATGACTATTGCTTGGTTTTGCGGGGATGTTCAAGCATGCAGGTTTGGGGGAGTGCTTGGCCAAAGGTGGAACGACAACTGACAATTCTCGGGCGTAGCGGCGGTCTCGATCCTCTATCTCGACTGGACCTTGAGAGGATCTTCTGCGCAAAAGGCAGATCTGAATAGATCAGCAGGAGAAGGAGCACGCGTGATGGAGCAGGGAGGCAACAAAGGGAGAGAGAGGATAATTTCATATCAACGCAGGCAAGTTTTTCGCTTTCGTAGACGTCATCACTGAGCACCACGACACACGAATGCGCACCCTCGCAACCCTCGTGAACCTTGCACCCTCGCACCCTTTGATCGCTTCATTCGTTCAAGGCACTTCTTCGGTATCCATGACCTCCACCGTGCGCCCACAATTGTTGCCCTCTGTCCTATCAAAGCTATTCCGATACACTCCATTCAGGGCCGATCTTTCGATGACCTACTAACCGCCTTCCCCTCTAACTATGTCACTGCAATTATATAACAAAGGACTCCTCGCATGATCTTGTATTCCTTTAATGGAAGCAGTTCAGAGGATTGTTCAAGCTCCTGTCGATACTATCAGGTCATTCACCATGGCAACAAATGATACGTCTTTCGCGGCGCATGTCGCCAATCAGTTCAACTCCTACGAGAAAGACCGCCAGATGGACTCCAAGCAAACCATCTACGCCGCCAGGTCAGTGCACATAACCTCTCCTTGCTGTAGCCATTCGATCAGTCCACTAACAATCCCATAGCAACGGTGTCCCTATGGCTCATCCCTACGAAGCTCAACGCGCAGGGGAGAGTGGACCACTCCTCCTCCAAGACTTCCATTTGATCGATCTTCTTTCCCATTTCGATCGAGAGCGAATCCCAGAACGCGTTGTTCATGCAAAGGGAAGCGGTGCCCACGGTTTCTTTGAGTGTACCAACCCGGCCGATGACTTGACTTGCCTCGACATCTGGAGTACCAAAGGCAAGAGATGTCCCGTCACAGTTCGCTTTTCCACCGTCGGTGGCGAAGCCGGTTCCCACGATTGCGCTCGAGACCCTCGAGGCTTCTCTGTCAAGTTCAGGACCGAAGAGGGTAACTGGGACTTAGTCGCCAATAATACCCCGGTGTTTTTCCTTAGAGATCCCGCCAAATTCCCCCATTTCATCCACACGCAGAAGCGACACCCTTCTACACACTTGACGCACGCTGACGACTCGACTATGTTCTGGGATTATCTGTCAAACAATCCTGAGGCGATTCACCAGGTTATGATTCTTTTCTCGGATCGAGGCATTCCCGATGGGTTTCGATTCATGCATGGTTACTCCGGCCACTCTCTGAAGCTGGTCAAAAAGAATGGTGATTGGATCTATTGCCAGATTCACATGAAGTCCATGCAGGGAACCAAATTCCTGACACAAGAAGAGTCTGCCACCAAATCTCCAGACCATGCCCAGAAGGATCTCTACGAAGCCATCCAGCGCGGCGACTATCCCAGGTGGTCAGTGGAAATTCAGACCATGACTCCCAAACAGGCCGAAGAAATTTGGGCTAAGCAAGGCATCAACGTCTTTGATTTGACCCACGTATGGCCTCAGAAACAATTCCCTCTGCGCAAAGTCGGTGAATTTACATTGAACGAGAATGCCGTTAATTATTTTGCCGAAGTCGAGCAAGTGACGTTCAGTCCTTCCCACATGCCTCCTGGTATCGAACCTTCGGCCGATCCAGTGCTGCAATCCCGCCTCTTCTCTTACCCAGATACCCACCGCCACCGTGTTGGTGCAAACTACCAACAACTTCCCGTCAACGCTGCCCGCACGGCCTACAAATACGGAAACTTCCAACGCGATGGTCCCATGGCATTCTATAACCAAGGTGGCCGGGCAAACTATCTCTCTTCCATCGACCCTATTCAATTCCGTGAAAGATCCGTTGATTATGACAAAACTCATGGACATTTCCAAGGCCATGCTATCACATTCCTGTCGCAGATTCGACCTGAAGACTTCAATGGCCCACGAGCCTTATGGGAGAAAGTTTTCGACGAGCCTGCCCGCCAACGTTTCATCAGCAACGTTACTGGTAAGATGGAAGTTTGTTCGGACAAAGAGATTCTGAAGAGGCAAATTGCCATATTCCGTGAAGTCAGTGAGGACCTCGCTCAGCGCCTGGAGAAATCAACAGGCATTAAGGGTTATGACGGGATCAAGAACATGAAGTTCAATGGTTCTCATAATGGCATGAGCTCGGATCCTGCTATCAGACAGGCCAACGGTGTCAAGGCTACGACATTCAGCAACAATACCAATGGAGCACCAACCCAGGGTTCGCATGACAGCATCCCTAATGGCGCCACGAATGGTGCATAAAGATCCCAGTTGTCGAGGGGACTGGATCTGGTTATGAAATGGCTTGAACTAGTAATTGTGATGTGGTGTAACGACGAGATATCGTCTCATTTTGCTCAACTCAAAGAATTTACATATCCACC